GTGTTGAATTGGGCCTAGTTGTTTTTTATTCTTATTTTAAGCTATTTAGTTAGGAAGTTGTTGGGCTTTAGGCCCATTAGTTTATGTTTTCAAGTTGTGACTGTTCAGCTACATTAGTAGCCGCCCTACTAAGGGCATCCTTGTAATATCTCATCCTTTAAGTTAAGTATAAATATCATGAGGGGTTGGCGGCTGGGTTAATTTAAGAATCCTGGTTGACTTCCTACTCTTTTCTCCCTCTCTTTTCTTCTCTACTACTGAGATCTTTATCTTCCTCCCCTTTTCCTTTCACAAGAAATTCAACTAAATCTACAATCAGTGATTTCTACTAAGATCAGGCTGACACAGGCACCATTAGGTTGGATGAATGCAATTAATTGTACTGACATTGGCCAAACACCAATACAAACAATCGGCACCAATTCAATCTCACCAAGTTCTAGAACTGCTTAAGTCCAATTCAACCCTTTAGGCTGATTGTAACTAACATAGATCTCAGCACAAACACCACAAGATTCATGATACATCAGGGATGGGCTCTACCCACTTAACTACAGTCCCATACAGTTAAAACCCCCTTATTCCAAAGGCCTCAAATCTATGAAAGTTCAGCATTTTTCCATAAATAGTATTAAAACCCATTTTTTACAAATTAATAACAGCTTATTAATTGCTCGAGTTGGGTTTGCCTCCAAGAGACAAGAGACTCTACCCAATGTGATACAATGATACTCTGTTTGATTCTCCTTTGATCCAATGCCTACCACCCACTATAAAGGCAGCTGGCAGTACTTGCTAGCTCACATCATAGTTTAGCCATCAGAGGCAATGGATGGAAAGAAAGGAGTCCATCGCCTAGCCAATCTTGAATAGGCATCTTTTCAATTCAATTGATGAGTCACATTATTTACAAAAATAACTAAGCTTCCATCATCAGACTAATGAGATTCCAATCCCAAAGTAAGAAAAAGTAGTGAGATTCTACCCCTTCTATCTCCACTTTTTTTCTCTCTCTGGTTCTCTCTTCTTTTTATTTTTCTTTTGCTTCCTGAAAATCTTCCTCAAAGCTCTTGCAAGTTTCTGTAAGTTGTGACATCACCAGGCATGGGTACCATGCTACACTAACAGAATGAAACCCTTCAATATTGAAGAGTATGAAAAGAAGGTGGTTTCCTCCTGAATTTTCTCCCTTGGGTTACTCCTCAAAAATAGGCCAATTTCTCCTCCAAATAAACAAAAAGAAGCAAAAGGGAGGAGATTTCAAGGAATTATTTTTCCCTTATAGAGAAACAATTTAGATGGCCATGGTGAAATCAATTAGGGAAATCCAGAAGTACATGGAAGCACCCCTAGTGTAGGACAACACTCTAAACCTAAAGGGACAATGGATTAAAAGATGGAGAACCATTTCCTCTTTAGCATTGCATAGTACACATGCTCAGGAGAATGCCAATCTTCTTAAAATCAAGTGATCAAATCTCACTATCTTATCCAAACACTTATGATGTGTTTACAAGTATTTGAGCCTAACAATATAAGCACAAACCAAGGCTTCATAAAGAACTAATTTCTTTAGGTATAACTGTATAAGGGCCATAACCCAATGTTGGTCCTCGCCATACAGGGTCTTGGGAGGGGTGGGCTGGGTACAGATCTAACCTTCAGCATTTTCTTGAACAAAGAAGTCAATTTCAGACTCTAACCACTGCTCTCAACTTATCAGCTCGAGATTTTACTGTTGCACCAAGAAATGACTCCTAATTTGTTTAGCTGTTGAGGTAATTAAATTAAAATATTGCAAGATCTTTCTGCCCTTAACTATTACATCTGGCTTTAGCTCCCATACATGAATGAAAAGTTTCCCTTGAATTTTACAATTTTAGAAGACTTTAAGTGGAGTGGACATAAGTTCATCAAAGAAGAGATTGATGTGACAAAGAAGTGCTTGCTTTGGGATTCAAAAAATAAGGCAAGAACAATAATTTGTACCTGAGCATAGAACCAGTCAGCAGTCCGGCGCAACTGCCCAACCTGGTCAATGATCACAACTATTAGAGAAGTGTTTTCAAAAAATGACATCTTAAATAATGAGCAAATATTATAAATTTCCTAACTGGTTGTAAAAGGTTTTTCATTTTCCTTTTTATTGCTAAGTTGTACAGAGCAGCAGCAGCAACAGCAACAACAATAACAATAGTAACATATATGGTGAAACAACCTACGTTTTGATTCATAAATCCATATAGATATCAATGAGATCAAGGTTAACCTATGAATATGATGAATTTCTTTTTCTTCTTGGATATTTTCTCATGGGAGTAACTCTTATATCCACTGGTATTGATTCCAAAAATGATTGCAGAAGTATGTTTCAAATTCCAACAACCACATCAATCAGACCAATGCTTACTGCAATGGGAAAATCTCAAGCTCAGCTTCAAGTCTGAGAACAGCCACTTTGTGTTGAAGTTCCAAAGAGTAGGTTTGTATCTAGTCCGCCACTCCTAAGGCCCTGGATAACCAGGACCAACATTGGGTGATGTCCTTTCTTTCGTGGACAGTGTTGCATGGACTCTCCCAAATGGGTTAAGTGTTCGTGCTGAACATGTATCAGACTCTGACATTCCATGGATTATTTAAAGATGTTTCTATGTGACATTTTTCTTTTTCTCCTTGCTTATTCAACACAAATGAATAGCTAATATATATGCAATGAATACATTTTTACAATAAAATGTTATAAGGACCAATAATATAATCTTTTAGACCTTTTTCTATTGGTTTATAATGTTAAAATTCAACAAAATATAGACTATTGCAATAGATTATACTTTTCTATAGACGTGTCTACAAGTCCTTGATTCTTCATCTTTCTGAGTTGTACTCCCAAACACAAATAGGATTCTAATTCTCGTGTCTATCTCCATGTCCATGTAACACTGTTTGCAGGTAAGGGTTTACTCAACTCTGGTCTACAAATTAGGAATAGTTGAGGAAAATTCACATCTAAATACAGGCCAGCTAGATTGTTTATGTTAAGATGTGCCGAATAGGGGTAGTTCAGTCTTCTTCTGTTTATTAAGTAACTTACTTGTGTGGCAGTGTTATTAGAGTTACTCTGCCCCACACTTAAGTAAGGGCATTTCTGTCTTTGTAAACATTATTAGAATCTAATRTAGATTAAGGGGGTCGACTGGATGGGTTAACCATCAGATTTTCGACAGACCCTTCTTCTTCTCTTCTTCTTCTTCTTCTTCTTCTTCTCCTCTTCATGTTCGGACTACTGTAGCAGCAGTCGAAACAGTTTATATCAATAACCTGAGACTGATAAAAGTCAATTGACTTCTACAGTTATACCTTGTTGACTGAAAGCCAAATGCATTTTGATGACAGCAAACTCACCATAAAGACTATGCTAATCATGTCTGAATCTTGCAGCCTTGAATGTGTTTAAATGTGTTAAAGTAATTACATATGTTTCAAGTATTATTCAACATGCATGTGTTATGGTTTAACAAGGTCCGTAACAGGAAGAAAGATGAAAGAAGGTTATGCAGCTCCAAGCTTCAGTCCATTATTCAGTTCAAAGAAGTCAGCAACCGAAGGAAGAGTCAAAGTGTTTCTCAAGCTTCAAGGTATCCTGAGAATCAAGCAGTTGATGTTGAAGGAAGACCACTTACTGCTTGTGTTTCAAAGAATTGGTCATCTCAAGTGACTGGTTCGTGATGCAAAGAAAAGATCGCTGCTCAAGTATCAGCATATTTAAGTAAACAAACATAAGCAACCGACATGTTTTTGCTTCAATGGCATATTTAACCATTTGGGATCGATTTTATGGAAAACATTTCATACACACAAATAAAGGAAATCAAGACCTTAGATATGGACCTTACGAGGTAAATATATGCCTATTTGACCTCAGAAACTCAGCCTTGATTGTTTTAGAATCCTTCCTAAGTCCTTGGTCGAAAATATAAAATATGAAAAGCCTCTAGGTTTAAGGAGTTAGCTCATGGATACAAAGAGTCAATCCATGAACAATAGGAGTTGAACCATGAACACAAAGAGTCAACCCATTAACATTAGGAGTTGACCTATGCGCACTAAGAATCAATCCATGGACGAAGGACTCATCCCTTGATTTTGAATTATTTTTGGGTGACAAGGAGTGAACCCTAGATTAATTAGATGACTCTTGGGTAGATTCTTTTTAGACCATTGGGTCACATTAAATGCTTTGTCTTAGCAGTGATTGCTTTTGTACTTTAAACAATTGAAAAAGGGGACTTTTGAAAGGTCTGTCGAGAAAAAAATTATCAGAAAGAAAAAAGGTCTATCGAGAAAAGCAATGGTAAAAATATGAAAGCTTTGACAGATTTGCTCTTGGGGTCTCAATATAAAAGCAAAAACATAGTTCTTGTAAAAAGAATAGAACAGCTTCTGGATGAACTTAAAAATGTTTCAAATCATGTTTTCTCCTAGAATCAACAATGGTGAAAAAAAAAGGAGAACTCAATGATTAGAATCTGCATAAAGAAATTCTAGACAATGAGCTCAACAATTTCTATCAGAATAAATCAACCAAAGGAATTCCAACCTTCCAGTCTTAAGTATCAAAATCTAAATGAAAGTATAGCACAAGGAAGGACTTCTCGGACCATATGTAAACATTATGGATAATTCTACATACAATGTTTGAAACCCTAACATGTGCAAATGAGTTGAATAGTTTGAACCATGAAAATTGTATATCTTTATTTGAAGGAGGTGTAACCAGCACTATGAAAACTTGTTTGTGATGGTGTGATCAACACCGAAGAATACCGATCATGTGGATGGTGTAGCCAGCACCAGAGAACATTGGTTGTTGTACTATTTAGGTAAATAGTGTAGTGGAAATTCTCAAGGAGAGCCTTTGAGGAGTAGATGTAGGTGAGGAGGGTTGAATCACTATATAATAGTATATATCTGTGTGTGTTGCATGTTCTTAGTTTCTCTTTCTCCTTCCTAGATCTTATTGAGTAGAATCCTTTTACTAACAATTCACTAGAATAAGAATAATTATTAGGAGATCAGATAATAGTGATGAGTGCACTTGTAATTAGAACAACTCATGCTTAGCTAGGATGAAAAGATCTTGGCAAGTACCCTACCATCACTCTCCTAACTGATACAAATCATAAGATTGATTTGGGTTAAGGATGATAACCCAATCGTCCATTTCTTTTGTTAGGAGATTATGAATCTTTGTGTTGTAATCTAACAAAATTAAATCTTGGATTGAAGGGAGAGTTTGCCTCCAACTGAATTCACCCCCCTGGATTAGCCGCCTGGGCAACATACCTGACTGATATGTTCTAGAATCACATAACAGGGGCAGCTGATTTTCTGAAAGTTGGCAATGTTGGACAGAGCAAAGTATTCATATTTCAAATATATTCTCAGTCTCATGCATTCACAAATCTATTTCAAATTTCCAAATATCTTGGTCTCTAGATACCTCATATAATCATATGCATGTCAAACAACAATGCACATGATGAGGACCTGTTACAAACTCAAATACCCTCTATGGCTTGTCAAGACTCGAGAGTATATTGCTTGGACCAAAAGGTACCCTTGAGAGTGATAAGAGTGAGCAGCAAAGGATGACCTAGATATGCTTCCATAATAAGCCTTACTATGATTTTTGGGAAAGCCATGGAAATGGTCGAGACGCCCTTCAGATCCATGCAAAAAGAGTTTAGTCAGATTAATCAAGGACCGCTTTTTATCCATTTTTTTCTTAATGCTCACCAACTTCCTACAAGCACGGATTACTAATGCCAATTGCTAAGGTGTCTATTTGAATTCCAAGAGATTTTCTATTGATATGGCTGTCCCCTGCCCCTAAACCCCAACAGACAGCAAAAGACAAAACCAGTGAGGATGTCTGAAACTCAGCCTACTTCCTCAAACCAGATAACGGTCTATCACAGTCAAGTAAAATGCGCGAAGCTTAACCCATTGACCACTATCTAACCCATGGCAGGCCCGCCAGAGATTTGAACCAAATAACCGAATTGATTTAATGTTTCAACGAGTAAAATGGCCAATAAAACACAACCTGAAGAGAAATTGCAAATAACAGAATTCTATAATCTATATAAATTATGAAGAATTTTCTTGGTCATTAAACCATTAAAAAGAGTAATCCAATAAATCCTAAATCCAAAACCCAAGTTACGATTTGCAAAGATCAATGGAATCCATCCTCCAAATTCCGGTCTAGGACACGACAAATTGATGGAGAATTTGAAATGAGATATTTCAAGGATATGAAAGAAGGAGAAATGATACGGAAAGCGGGTAAAATAGCAAATGAAGAACGATAAGAAAATAAGCAGGGCACTTACAGCAAATGTGGTGGCGGTGGCGCCAATCAGACCGAACAAGAGAATTCCCCAAATCCTCATCCCTTCTCCATCTTGGTTTGTTTCGTATGGTGTTTTCGGTGGCCATGAAGTAGAATTTGTATCGTCTCTCTTCTCCTCCTCTGGCTTCATCTTCACTGTTATATCTAACTAATATCTAATTCGGAGACCTCGTAACAGAGACTGAAACCCCAGACCATGATTTCTATCAACCAACTTCGTCAGACTAATTTATGAGTTCGTTAAACCCCCACAGAATGAAATAGGGCTGACGGGAAGTTGTGGTTGAGTTCGTGGTCGAGTCCTGTATTTTGTTTTTTAGAAGAGTCCTGTTGTTGGTTGAGGTGGGTTTCACGGAAAGTCGAAGGAGATTACGCAATTTTTTCGATTGAGCGAGTCGTTATCTGTCTGTGTACTTATCATGCACTCCCATTCGGGTCCGATCTCCTACACTTTTTTGAATAGGGATCTCCTACACTTAACGCATAAACGAAAGGGAAATCCAACCGAAAAAAAGCAGCGTCGGTTTTTTTTATTTATTTTTAGGATAAATTACAAAGATTCCTTTTTATTATGAGTCAGTGACAAAGACCCCTATATTTTAATGGATAAATTTCTTAAACAACCTTTATAGTTTAATTAATTGATTAAATATATTTTTATTGTTTAAAAATTTTTTAACACTACTCTTATTGTTTCTGATAATTAACTAATACTTCTCTTATTATTAATGTTCTATTATAAGCCATTCAAATCTGTATCACGTGACTATTTTAACTTTCGAAAATATCCAATTTATCCTTATTATAACTTCTAACACCGGCTCCAACGGAATATCTCTGATGCACCAGCACGGCATCCAAAGCTAGATATGGATGTTTAGGCAATAAATTGTCGTAATTTCTATACACTCAGCTATTATTTTCTCTCAATCAAAAATCAGAATGCCCTGAGAGTTCTGCCTCCGAGCAATAAATGGCATCGACAACATTCTCTCAATGGCCACCACCGGCGTAGCTGTTCTGCCACCTTGTGGTTCTGTTCAAGAATTAAAGCTCTCTAAGAGCTCAAGGAAAATCCCAGAGAAAGAGAAAGAGTCAAAGAGAGCTTTCTAGAACTGGGAAAGCTAGCACAAGCACCGACTTGACGACTGGGAACCTTAAGAAGAAGATGATGACTATCATCTGGAAGATAAGTTTCGTCAACATATACAGGGCCACGAGGTGTCAACAGTGAGAGATGAACTGTGGATCCGCTACACAGATTTCTTTTGATCTATGAATTTTACACTTCTGTTTTTCTATTTTCTATTTTTCTTGTTGAACTTTGTTGTTCTTTTTCCTTGTTTTTTATTTGCAATAACCTGTTCATCTATTGCACTATGGTGTCAACAATGAGAGAACTGTGGATCCCACTACACAGATTTCTCTTGTTCATCCATTGCATTGTTCGCCAACATATACAGGGGATCCCGCTACACAGATTTCTGTATAAAGTTCAACAAGAAATTGGCGAGACATTGGCGAAACAATTGGCGAGAAATCTGTGTTCTCCTGTATACACGGATTTCTGTATACAGGGGATTTCTCCTTCTCTGTATAGAGTGAAACAATTGTTGTCCATAAGGAATCCCGGTTGATAAATTCAGTAACTACATCAGAAAATTAAAAAGAGGAAAAGATATTGGCGAGAAACAACTAAAATTATTTAGTCTGTTTTCTACAGAATTATGTTGGTCTTAAGAAATATACTCAAATTGATGGATTCCTTTTTCCCATTTTTATTTCTTTTTGAATTATTGAATTGTAGGTCGAAACTCGAAAGGAGCACCGACTTGGTTTATGGGGGAGGCGGCATTAGTTTAATGGGTCTCGTCTCTCAAGTTGTTTATAATGGCGGAAGATAATTAATTTAATGGAGCTTCTGGGTTTGAAAGGTTAGGGCTTTGATGAGTCAGTGTCTTTTTTTCTCTTTTCTGTATTTTATTTTGAAAATTTAAAGAAGAATAAAGGGTAAATTAGTTTTTTTCATCATTATATTAACTGACACTAACGGTAAAGAAAGTATTAATCAATTGTTAAAAACAGTAAGAATAGTGTTAATTAAATTTTAAACAGTAAAAATATACTTAATCAATTAGCTAAATCATAAAAATAGTTTAAGAAATTTCCTCTATTTTAATTTACAACAAAAACTCCCTGAACTTTAACCATTAAATAAAAACCCCTTCATTAGCGTTCTATTAATTAACTTGAAAAAAAATTCTCATCCCGACTGTTTAAAGTTCTTTAAATGTCCAAAATACTCTTTTCTCCTCTGATATTGCAACGGCCCTATTACGTATCATCATCTTTCACGATTGTTTCGTTCAGGTGTTATGACGGAATTCATAGACAGGCCCGACTCTAATGCCGATGCAACAAGGCCGGAGCTTGGGATCTCCGACATCTCTCGACCAAAATGCAACGACATGATCCATAGTCAAGCTGGTTGTCGGTGCCATTGCAGGTACCATGACAGAATTCGTAGATAGGCCCAACTCCGATGCCGGTGCAACAAGACCGGAGCTGTGAATGTCCGACATCTCTCGACAAACATTTGCTCCTTGGGTTCCGCAATTAGGAAGCAAAATACCTGTTGGAATAAGCCAACCAAAAACAAGTTCTGACTTAATTTTTCATAGAAAAGTCATACACATTTAACTTAAATTATCCAACAGAAGCTGACTGATCATGTGACTATGATAATGGATTTCACAGTCAAGTTGAGTCAAATGTGAAGTATGGGCCATGGGGTTAAAACTTAAAAGTAGTTGATTAGATATTTCAAATTTAGAGTATTAATTAAACACGTTACCTTTAGTTCTTCGCCTTCTCCGGCAACCAGATTGAAGTAGATATCAATAATGTCGGGGCAGTTGTCGGGAATAGCAAAGCTTCTATATGAAGGAACAGGACAATGATTCGGAACAATATATACAATAAGACCTTGGTGCAGAGGAGGGGTATCCTTCACGCCAACCAACAACCTATAGCGCCTTGGTCCGTCGGGACTTTGCCATGGGGATGACATAATTCGGAAGACTAGCATTACTAGTATTGTGAATGGCACAGATGTTCAGGAGTGGAACCCAACCACAACCATAGACAAATATATCAATGTTAAATATGATGCACAACTGTAAGGAACTTTCAAACCACCCGACCCCTTTCCCATTTATTTGGCATTTTCTTGTTGCAGAGACTGATATACTGAAATTGCCATTTCCAGGTTATGGATGTAAAAGCTTCTTCTAAAGGAAGCACTTGTCAGGTTGCCTGTGGACCGAAATATCCATATAATAGACTTTATTGGTAGACTTGAAGAGCGAGAAGGTTCAAATATTCTCGCAGTAGCAATTCCCAAATTCATCGAAGAGAATGTTCGGATAATAGTCCTCGCAAGCATCATATAAGGGCAGGTCCGACTCAACTCCATTTGGGCAGCCTTCAAGTTCTGACAGCACCATTTGGGCAGGTCCGATTTAATTGTTCGAAGAGGGGGAAGATGAACTACCGAACTCTGTTTTTTATATGTATTTCTTAGTTTCGTTTTATCGTCTTAAAGGAGTAATCTTTTAATTTAAATGCACCGGTGAGATGACATTTGGTGAGAAGTAAGAGATTTTTCGGTCAGTTAGGTTTTATGAGAGAATGGCAGAAAAAAGAAAATGAAAAAAGATTAGTGGGGTATTTTGGTAACTTAATGCTTTTCATCATTTGACTTGACGGTTAAAGGAGTCTTTATCTAATGGTTAAAATTTAGGGGGGTTTTGTCGTAAATTATTTACCCTTATTTTTATTATTAATATAAATACTTAAACTATCCTAACCTAAAAAAGCAAAAGGCTGTATAGCCGATCTTGTGCATTTGCAAATGGAATTTTTTTTATTATATAACCTATATGAAATCTTATAATCGTATAATCTTTCCTTTTCATTTTTTAACCATTACCGTTATAAATTTAATTAATTACAATGATGTCATTGAATAAAACAAAAAAAAAAACAATCATAACCTATTCTTTCTCCTTTCCCTCTTTCATATTTGATACTAAACATATAATTATTTATAATGGTGTCACCGATAATTATTTACAATAATGTCACTAAATTTTTACCTTTTTTATAGGTTTCTACTGGATAAGGACAATTTTTTGTCTTTAATATCAATAAAAAATAATATTTTTATATAATAAGTAAAATAGGATAGCTTATTTGGAAAAATATCAATAAAGGGCAGTGGACACTGTTACTCGTTTCCCTCTTTTATATTTGCCCTTTTTTTCCTTTTTGATTTGGTGATCAAGATGACTAGATGAGACATCACTCTCAAAAAGAGTCTCCACCCAGTGAATCCACAATCCACAATGGTCTGAATCGAACTGACACTATCTGAATTTCTAAAACACTTTTAAGACACAATCCATAATCCACCGGCGAATGCATTATGCATATGCAGACAATGGGCTCCACAACCCAAAACCGGCCACCACTTTTGAAACTTGAAAGATTCATTGGAGACTTGAACCCAAAAAAGAAAAACAAAAACACTTGTCACATAGGCAACAAAAGATTGCACAAATTTGAAGGGACGCTGTGGATAATCAAGCCTAAAAGCGATTAGATTAGAAATTGGAAATCAGAATACTCTTCTTTGCAAGAAAATCCCAGGAGAGTAATCCATGGTCCTTGCTCGGATCTTGGAATCTGCTCTAGATCCGAACCTCGGTAAATTTTATCCAATTTTGGTAGTGTGGAAGTTTGTCAACTGACTTATCTGGTTTTGAACTTTTAAATTTGGGCTTGGGAGAACACATGATTTGAACCTCGGTAAATTTTATCGAAAAAAGTGTGAATATGATCAAAAAGCAAAAACAATTAAAAAGGGCAGAGGAGGAAGACGAGCAACAATATCCACTGCCTTTTCTTGATATTTTTTCTATATCCCATTTTAGTTATTATATAAAAATATTATTTTTATTGAT